TAATGTTGATTCAGCATGGAATATAATAACCCCAGGTTTATTAAATGGGTCAAGCCGAAAGAGCATTAAAACAAATATTTTTTGGGGGTAATTTAAAGTTTTGATGAAAATATATGTTTATGCAGTGGAAGATGATCTTGTATAAAGCCTCGGGAATTATTGATGTTGAATACAATCAGAGTGAATTAAAAATTTATGTCCACAATGATTAATTTAGGGGCAGTTCGAGGCTCTCCGCTGATATTAAGCTAAGTTGCTTACAATTTCATATTTAATTTATATTTGTAAATTATGTAAATATTCTTGCTTGTACTTTGCTCCTGGGTTAAAGTTCTACTCCATGATGCTTATTCCCTGTAAACAATTGTTTCAAAATAAAAGATTCCCAGCTGTACTGACCCGATAGCAGTCAAATGCATTTAGATAGTGACGCCTTGGAAGTATGGAAAGCAGATAGCTTTGGGCTAAACATGTGAACCTACAATGTATGGGATCTATTATCATCACAGTGAATCTGCAGGCGGTGGGGATGATAGTTTTTGGAGGACTAAGAAAACCAGGAAATAGGTGAGCGTAGTATATTGTTAAAGATTGGTCCTTATAGGCGCAAGAAACCCCCCTTTGGTGTTCGGGGTAAAGGGGTACATTAATTCTTAGTGGAGGAGTTGGCTGAGTAATTTGGAAAAACAGAGGGGAATGAAACTATCAGGGTAAAGCGCCAAGTCATTAAGATTTTTATAGCACTGGGAAGGGATCAGGATAAGGATTTGGGATGGGACGAGAGAGGGGAGGTGAGGAATGGTGCCCAACCACTTGGACGATCGGGGATTGAACGCCGACCTGCAAGAAGCGAGACCGTTGCTCTACCGTCCAGCCCAAGTGCAATGAGTTTTCTATTCCAGGGTCTTAGTACCGCAACCCAAAGAGAATATATCTGCCGGAAGCTGGAAGCATTTCCTCCTTTCCGAATGTAAATGAATGAAAAGAGCTCCTACATTCTCTACCTAACTCTTACATTCAGAGAAAGAGCTCTGAATGTAAGAGTTACGTATACGCGCGAGCACTATGAAATATGTAACCCCAGTTGTACCTGTTACAAAAATATAATTGTATAAAAAATGGAAGTGGGAGGTGGGGGTGGAAGACGATATATTAAGATACAGCAACGTCTTCCACTTCGAAGATGGAGGGATGAGTCGCGAGCAGTGTGGATGGCTGTGGTGGTGAGTGTTGCTGTCATGAACGAGAAGAATTTTGCCAATCACACAGCTCACTTGTCGCTGGTGTGAATGGGAAGGTCTCGTGCAGTAGGACAAACAAACGGGTCCTGGACCGTCTGTGACTAGAGGGTCATTAGGTCTCGCACTCTGAGAAAGGTTGAGTACTAGCAGGCCATCGGGGGAGGCTAGCGAAGGCCATAGCGAGGTCCTCTCACGAAGCGAAGACTATAGAGAGGTCCTCTCACGGAGCGAAGACTATAGCGAGGACCTCTCACGGAGCGAAGACCATAGCGAGGTCCTCTCACGGAGCGAAGACTATAGCGAGGACCTCTCACGGAGCGAAGACCATAGCGAGGACCTCTCACGGAGCGAAGACCATAGCGAGGTCCTCTCACGGAGCGAAGACTATAGCGAGGTCCTCTCACGGAGCGAAGACCATAGCGAGGACCTCTCACGGAGCGAAGACTATAGCGAGGTCCTCTCAAGGAGCGAAGACCATAACGATTACCTCTCACGGAGCGAAGACTATAGCGAGGACCTCTCACGGAGCGAAGACTATAGCGAGGTCCTCTCAAGGAGCGAAGACCGTAGCGAGGTCCTCTCAAGGAGCGAAGACCGTAGCGAGGTCCTCTCAAGGAGCGAAGACCGTAGCGAGGTCCTCTCAAGGAGCGAAGACCGTAGCGAGGTCCTCTCAAGGAGCGAAGACCGTAGCGAGGTCCTCTCAAGGAGCGAAGACCGTAGCGAGGTCCTTTCATGATGGTATAGTTGAATTCCAATATAAATATTGTTGGTTTAACATTTGCTCTTTATTATAGTTCATTATAGGACTGTGAGGAGTTTACGGGAGTTTACTTAATGCTTGTATTGATCTCTCTTTCTCTTAACCTTTAGAGTCCCACAAGTTGCAGAGCTCCCGTGTTGACTCTTACATTAGGCTCGCGTTTGGGCCATGTAAACTACAGGCGATAAAATATTTACTGTGCTTTTCTCCTCATCCATTTATTCTGTGACGCAAAATAGTCGGAAATGCTTTCCCTTCTACACCCCAACGTTACCTCTGCCACAACCTTCCTTACCACCACTGCTACCACAATTCTCACCATCTTCCACCTCAACACCTGCTTTAATTTAGTTCCACCACCATTCCCATCACCACCAGGTGATGGGAATGGTGGTTCCCATCACCTGGTGGTGATGGGTATGGGTTCCCATCACCTGGGGGATATTGGTTCCTTACCAATATCCTCCAATCATCACCCACTACCAATCCCCAAATAACCGTGAAACCTCCCATCTCCTCTACTACCCTCCAATTCCCCCTCCCCCCAAGACACCATCAACCCCCTCCCTTCCATTCCCCTACCCCCCAACACCCCCAGCAACCACCTCCCACCACCTACACCCGCCATCTCCCAGCATCTCCTATTAATCTTCATTAAAATGCTTTTTAAAACATGAAGAATTCTTCAATAATCTTTACAAAGGAAGTTATCTAATTAGAGAAGCACTTCAATTTCCCCTTCAACCCCAGAAAGAAAGAGCAAGAAAAAGGTAAAAGATCTCTACTAAAACTAAAAAAGACGAATACCATTTTTTTTTCTCATAGATGAAAAAGAAAATGCTATTGAACATGGCGATTGAATTACTTCTTTCCAACATATAAAATTTCTCTTTCAAATTCTCCATTAATTTTGCTCTTCAAGGCCTTGAGAAACGAATGAGGTTATTACACCAAAAGGAGCCCAAACAAGATATTAAAACTTGGGTGCTTTTCAGACTGTATGTTTGGTGTGGTTGAGGTAATTGTTGGGGGCATGAAAGTTGGCTATTTTGGTGTGATAGTGGTGGCTATTGTGTGAAAGGTGCGAATGTAGAGAGAGAGAGAGAGAGAGAGAGAGAGAGAGAGAGAGAGAGAGACAGATGGATTTTGGGTGTGAAAATGGTATGAATTTAAAGATTGGCGGATATTTGATGTGAAACGTAGACATCAGGTTTGTGAAAGGGTGTGATAGGTGGATATTTTGTGAATTGTGATATTGAATGGATGAGAATTGGATTTGAGTGGATGAGAGTTGGGTATTGGGTGAAAGAGACTGGATATTAGTTTGTAAAAATTAGTAAACATTCAAGGTAAGAGGTGTGGACATTAAGTGTAATTGAAAGGTAGATTTAGTGAGTGAGAGGTTGATACTGAGTGCAAGAAATTTGGGCTAGCGTGCGGGTAATATTACATCTAAGAGTTGTAGGTATTGAATGTGTGTGAAGACAAATATTGGGCGTGGTGGAAGCAAATATTCTGAAGAAAAAAATTGCATTGAGGTGAATATTGTTTGTATTACAGATGGATATATGTGGTGTGAGAGACGAGGATGTTGGGGGGGGGGCAAGTGAGGAGAATATGTGTGAATGGCAGGTGTTGAAAGTATGAAATAAAGATGAAAGACTTGGGAGAAAAACGGAAATGGAAGGTATAAATACAAATATGATTGGTTTTTATTTAGGAAGAGGCAAATCTGGGATGCAAGAGGACAGTTTGAACAGGAATCTAAGATAGGGAGGGGAAAGGAAGAGAGCCTGATGAAAAGGGAACGAGGAAAAGGAGGCCAGCGGAGAAAAAAGGGATAAGGGGGATGATAGGGAAAGAAGGCAAATGAAGAATTGAAGCAGAAAATGAATTGGGAAAACTGGGAATAAGAAATAATGAGGTAGGAAAAAGAGAAAGAGAGAGTTTATAATCAAGAGGACATGGGAAAGAGAGGAGAGAAGATGAGAGGAGACAGGAGGGAGGTAGAGAGGGAATCTGAGAGCGGAGGAACAGGACTAGCAGTGATGGAGAGTAATTAAAGTCAGCCATTAAGGTATCTGCCCTATAGTAATTACTAGTGATTAACGCGCAAGGAAGTAAATTTAAACCAACTCTTTATTGTACATTACTGTAGGAGGTTAGCAAAGACAGATTGCTAATGGAAATAAACAGAGTACAATCATCAGAACAAAATATACGCTATAGGGACAAAATACGCTATACGAACAGAACGCAATGTTAACAGAACGCATGGAATGTTAACAGATCACACACCATAATAACAGAACACACACCATAATAACAGAACACATGCTCTATGAACAGAACGCATGTAATATTAATAGAACACACACTATAAGAACAGAACACATGCTATTCGACCAGATGACATGCTATAACATAACACCCACTATACGAGTAGAACACATGATATTCAAACATAACACACGCTATACGAACAAAACGCATTCAATACAGATACAACACACACGCTATATGTGAACAAAACATGTGCTATACTAATAGAACTCATTCCATATGGACATAATTGAGAGCTCTTAACGCGCTCAATAACGAGCCTAGTTCGCTAAACGAAAACAACTTTAGAGAACGTTTAATTGTCTCTGAAAACGGAGTACAGGAACGGTGCTCGTCCCTCTTAAAAAGGAAAGGAAGGGGAAATTACCAGAGGAAAGCCCCAAGCCATATTACGACTATATATAGCACTTGGAAGGGGTTCAGGATAAGGATTTGTGATGGGACGGGGGAAAAAAAGTCCCCCAATCACTTGGACGGTCGGGGATTGAGCCCCGATCTGCATGAAGCAAGACCCTCGCTCTAAAATACAACCCAAGTAGATAGTAGACTACCAATCTACTGCACCAGTAGATGGGGCCTGGGGCTGTAGAAGAAAGCGAGGGTAAAAGACATTTGAAAGAAGTAACTACAGGCGGAAGGGAAAGTAAATTGAGAGAATGGTGGCTGTAAGAAAGAACGAATATTCCATTGTGGAATTTGGTTCAGAGTCGAGGGGGCTGGAAAAAGAATTTGATTTTACGTGTGCGATTTTACAGAGACCTTCGGAAGGTTGGTTCTGAATATTACAATTTTTATTATTATTTTCATTATTAATGTAATAATTATATTATTATTATTATTATTATTATTATTATTATTATTATTATTATTTCGTATTTTCGTATTTTCGTGGGGAAGCACTGTCTTGGAGATTATAAAGCACTGTCTTGGAGATTATAAAGCACTGTCTTGGAGATTATAAAGCACTGTCTTGGAGATTATAAAGCACTGTCTTGGAGATTATAAAGCACTGTCTTGGAGATTATAAAGCACTGTCTTGGGGATTATAAAGCACTGTCTTGGGGATTAAAGAGAAGCTGTACAATTATCAGTTGACGGATCAGTAAGGGTGGATATACACAAGAAGCCCCCTAGCACACTCTGTCCACAATATTTCCATGTATGTGTGTCGGGACTGCGAATGAGTCTCGCTTAACGATGTATTGTGTGATCGTGAACTCTTCTTAGGGTTCTAAGATCTTCCAGGAAGATTCCTTTGGCAAGGGTATAAGACAGTAAATACAAGCATAAGTATATTGATGTATAAACATAGAAAAAGGAGCAGATTATGACATAGAAATTAACTAATGAGAAAGGAGAGTTTACACACATAATATATATATTACAAAATAGGGGGAAATGGGAAAAAAGAGTGAAAAAGAGCAAAGGTAAAAGAGTAAGAGTGAGGAATATAGAAAGATAGTGAGCACAGAGGAAATAAATATGCAGTGTTTCCTTTCACCTCATGGCCCTGTTCACCTAGCAGTACGTACAGTGCCACCCGGGAGTTAGACAGTTACTGAGGGCTGCGTGCAGTGGATAATCAGTTCCTGACCTAGTAGTTAGCTATAGATCCACACGCACACTGATCATACACTCAAGCACAAAAAGCACTCAACACGCGACACGTCGCACACACAGAACACACACACACACACACACACACACACACACACACACACACACACACACACACACACACACACACACACACACACACACACACACTCGATCAGTAATTGGTGGACTTGTGAGTAAAACCGATTGGCTGGTCGTGTTGCAGGGAAATCCTAGATAAGGCTTATATAAACAATCGGAAACCAAGGCGTTCAGCTTGCTAACAGGAGTCAGAAGGCGTCTATCTACTTCTGTCCCCCCCCCTCCACCTGTCCCAAGAAAAGGATAGAGAATAGACAGAGGCTGACAGTTCCTTGAGGAAGCCAACGGTCGTTCAGATATGGACCCCCTATAGATATAGTTCCACACAGTCAGCGTAGACTGTGTTTTACGCTGACTATAGCAGTTAATTGGTTCATTGCAGTTGGCTCACTCCTGGCTATTCCCTTCTTCGCACGGCTGTCTATCCTCACTTCCATTTCATCTTTCTTTTTGTTCTCATTCTCTCTCTCTCTCTCTCTCTCTCTCTCTCTCTCTCTCTCTCTCTCTCTCTCTCTCTCTCTCTCTCTCTCTCTCTCTCTCTCTCTCTCTCTCTCTCCCTCTCTCTATCTTCCCCTAACCTCCGCCTTTATTAATTACTCCACTTCAATGAATTACTCTCTATATATTCTTCATGTCGTGATTGTCTTCATGATTACTCAGGTTCTTTGTAATTATACAATTTGCAATTGTTATGGCTCTCCAAATTACCTTTGATATATAAGGCGGGAAATTCCAGAAGTTTTTCTTCCTAGGAAACTTTTTTTTGGGTTATAAATAATTATTAAATTATTTTGTGCATTTGAGAGAGTGTTGTGAGGGGGTGGAACTTCTATTTCACACCGAAGTGTATTTGAGTAATGTATGAAACCTTGAACAAATCCCCAAGGGCCGCGACGAGGATTCGAACCTACGTCCGGGAGCATCGCAAACCTTGATTTGGGGTTAGCTGGATGCCTCAGAAACTCTTCTAGAGGATTCAGTTGAATCCTCTAAGGTTATTTTACTGTTTATCATGTCCAGTGGCCCAGTGTGTGTGTGTGGGCTTACTGGGAGTACCCAGATTGCAGGTTCGAATCCTCCTTATGATTTTCTCATTGATTCATTACGTTAATGTGATTTTTTGCGGCATTATAATTTGTTGTATTATTTTTATAAATAATTTTATTACAATTAATTGTATTATTATTATTATTATTATTATTATTATTATTATTATTATTAATAGTAATAAAAGTAGAAATATTTATATTTTGAATTGCATTGTAATTACACAGACATCATTGTCGTTCTATTATAAAAAAAATTGTGTACGACATTATAACGCTAAGCTGAAATGAGATTCATTTACATATTAATGCTTCATCAAGCACTAATTATGCTTAAAATTGCTCATAAACGGAATATTGAAGGAAAATCGAAGAGAGAGAGTATTAGCATTTTACATCACAAGTTTGTGATTTAGTCCGCTTTCCAGTGTGAATAGCAAATTTATATTTTTATTATATAAATTTGACCAAAATATTTTTTGGGCAACGGGCGGTTGAGGGAGGAGAGGAGGTGGGGGTTATCTTACATATAATATATATATATAAATATATATATATATATATATATATATATATATATATATATATATATATATATATATATATATATATATATATATATATATATATATATATTTACGAACATTTAAACGTCTTCTAAGGATTATCAATAAAATAGCACAAAACTTGAGAATAAATATAGCTGCAAAAGGCGACCATTGGCTCAAGTGAGTCAGCTTCTACCAAAATCCACTTATACATAAAAAAAAAACATTCACTACTCAATTGCTTAAACGCGTCGGGGTCGGCAGTTCGAGTCTCCTAGTGCCCTTCCTCGCTGCTATGCCACCCGGCCAAGGCATCAGGTCGCATTTTTCTCTTCAAGTTCGTCTCTGTAAGACAGTAAGGTGCTGCTTTGACTTTCTCAGAGTGAGTGGCACTCTCTTCTACACATTGGCACTGAAAGTCCAATCTAGAATCAACTCTGAGCCAGAGACTGTAGTGGTATGGTGCCATCTGTGTCTCATCTGTCAGCTGTAACAACAGTAGTAGTAGTGAACCAGTAGTGAACTAGTAGTGAACCAGTAGTGAACCAGTAGTGAACCAGTAGTTGTAATTGATAGTAATAGTAGTAATTGACGTGTCCGTAAAGTATTACTAGTGGTAGTAATAGTAGAACACTAGCATTGTTGTTAAAAGTACGCTAATGGTAGAAGTAGATCACTAATAGTATTAGTGAGTGAAGTAACTTAAGTAGTGGAAGCAGCACTTATAGTGCTGATGTTATAGATAATATACTTTTGTTTTTGTCTTTGGGGCGGCATGATACCCCCAAACCAACACAAAATATGTCTGGAATACATTGAAAATTGGGGGAACATATGAACTGCGTTAACAAATGGATAGGAGGGGTGAGGCAGACAAGGCAGATGCAGAATAGGGATTCGAGTAAAAGAGAGAGAGAGAGAGAGAGAGAGAGAGAGAGAGAGAGAGAGAGAGAGAGAGAGAGAGAGAGAGAGAGAGAGAGAGAGAGAGAGAGAGAGACAGCAAACCAACCTCAGTGAACAGATACACGTGTATATGTACCCTTGGCAAGGCTGAGACGATTTCAGAATAGAAGTGAAGTACTGAAATTGGACTCGGCCATAACGAGCCAACCGGAGAACATTATTCCGTGAGAGTGTAGGCGCCCGGAGCCTTTTTTTCCCAGGGATATTGGAGCAATAACCCCCAAATTAGTGCGTATTAAGAGTCGCGTTACCGCCCGTAAAGGAAAAAGTGGCTATGTTATAAAACTTTGTCATCTTGATGGTGTTGGAATTTCATTACTGTTTTGTATATAAGGGCAAAAATCGTGTATGGGATATATATAAAGATATATATTATATATATAGATATATACATATATATATTTTTTTATATTATATTTATAAACAAGTTCTGTTGCATTGTAATGGGAAGTGTTTGCTCTTGAATCGTTTATTTCCCAGATGAGTTTTTTTGCCTGAAACTCCTACAGTAATTTGAGTGCAGCTTTAACCTAGATGCCCAGGGTCTCTGAGCTTCTTATGATGAGTCTGTAGCAGCGTTCGAGTATCATATATTTCACGATCTTCTAGGTCGCTGGTGGACGAAGCAGCACGGCCATCTTCCCCTTCCACAGCGACGTCGAGGGTAACGTCTCAGTGAACGTGGATGGGTGTAGGTCCCTTGTCTCGTGAGAAGCTCATGGTGTCTAGGATGGCACTCAAGGCTCCCATTCTCTCATATGTGGTGATGCCAAGATCCTCCACCAAATGTAATGGTTAGAATTAGAAACAGAATGTGTTCGACAATGCAAATAATTTCTTTGAATATTAAGATAAGAAGAGAGGTATTGGATTGGAAAATGATGGCATGGACATATAAGAAGGCAGGAACGAATATGGAGGAAAGAGAACGAATAACTGATATATAAGTTTCGTAGAGAGATAAAAAATATATTTTCAATTCAAAATCTGCAGTCAGACATTAAAATAAGAGGGCGGTGTTTAAACCAAAAAGACGCCCAGGAAAACTGACAGAAAGAAAACATTAAAAATATATTAAAAACACAAAAATCATAGGCAAACGCATACAAGAATAAATTATACCTCTAATAAGAGCTGCCACGTTTGTGCCAACAGTCCTGCAGTTTCCTATATTATTATCATCTAAACATCAGTCTTTTAAAAGACCAGACGTGGACTGTCTACAACTCTATCGAATAAGTGAATCAAGGTGAATTATGCGCTTAATTCAAAAAAGCACCAAATAACTTTTGCGATGCAAAACCTTTTAAGCTGATAAATTCCTCAGAGTTTTCCTGTTCAGGAAATTTTTTTATCCCTTGCTGTACACAAGCGAATAGATTGATGGCTCAAACACCCTGGAAAAATTCACCTCAAATCTTGCACTTCTGGCTCGACGCGGCTCAGCTGAGATGAGGATATATGAGGCCCTTCAGAGCACCCTCCGTGTTCACTCTAGGTAATTGATCGGCGA